GAAAAAAAGTAACTAACGCAGTAATATTTCCATGAATGGGGGAATCTGAATTACATGTTCCTTCTGCATTTATACCTCATGTTTGAATAAAGAGAGGGGAGCATCAATTCACATTTTCCAATTACAGTACTGTTGTATAAGAGCCCTCGTTAATGAGGCTGTCAGTCTCACTTCACTATTTACAAGGCTGCCCAGTTCAAAAAAAATCCCTTGCTGTTTTCCTTGTTAGTTACAAGCTTGTATGTTTCTATTTCCCTGATCCCAGCAGGTGATCTCCACATACAAAAGAAAGAGATATTTCTAGGAAGTTTTTTAATTACTCCACTCATTTGAGGACCTAATGAAAACTTTTGGTACGTGGCCAAAAGCCTGTACGTTCAATTTGTCTTGTTAGCAGCATGTTTATTCAGACTGATGCCTATATGCAAGGCCCGCATGAACAGCTCAAGAAATTGTCGTGGTTTGTTGAAAGCAAAAGAAACAAAAATGGCCTCAACATTTCCTTTACTATTGCTCCCCAGAGGTGACACAGTAACATGGCACAACCCACACACCGTACTAGGGCTTACAAGGCTCCTGCACCTCCAAGCAGAACTACAGCATGGGCATGACTGGGAAGGAGGAGGGGAGAGGAGGAAAGAGAGGTGTAAGGAATACCATTGTATCATTTATCAGCGTTCTTCAAGACCGTTCTCTCAAAGCAAAACCTCTTAGGTGCCCCTTGAGGGAACAGACAGGGAGACCAATTTACCAAGTTTAGTAACCACACAAGTTAAAATCTCCTCCTAAAGACACTCTAGACTTTTTATCAAAAGACAAACCACACACAGACAACACCCTTTTTCCACAGATTTCGGAAGCACGAAAGATTTAAAAGTTCACCATTGGGAAAAAACAAACAAACAAACAAACAAACCAAGACCTGCAAATAAGAGTACCTGCGTCTAGAAGAGCTCTCAGATGACACCAACAGCACAGCTGAGACCCCTCACTAACACACCCTTCCCCCTCAGGCAAGCTCCTAATATCCTTTCGATGCAGTCAGGTGTGGTTGATCTGGCTCTATCCTTCAAGGGCTTGCTCAGCTCTTCCTTTCTTCAGAGGAGAGAGAGACACAGGACCTGGCTGAAGAAATTAAGGAATCAATGTGGGAAGAGATTTAGTTTCAATTAAAGATATACCTTGTTTACATCAGTCTTTGGAAGAAGTTGTGCTGTGTTCCCGACAAACATTGTATTCAAAGGACTACTCCCAAAACTAAGTAGTTTAGCTCTAGCAGAATCACCTGGGTCAATGCATCCTCTTTCACTGAAGACATGAACATGCATTTTGGCTGGTGGAGTCTCTGCACTCTGAAACTGAAGGACTGGTTTACCAAAATTCAAAGTTCAGCGTATCTCTGAGATCCAATTCACCAGATATCCTGGACTTCATTCACCCACACAAGCCCAGGCCAGGACACCTCTGCACCCAGTCTCTATATGCTGCCCAGGAACACAGACAGGTCCAAGTACATGAAACAGAATCTCTTTCCAAGCCAGTAAGGAGAGATTCTCACCCAGCCACACTGCAGATGGTCCAGCGGCCTCCCATCCCACTCCCCAGGGCAAGAGCAGCAGTCCTGCCCTGTGACCTGTGCGCACCTCCCTGGCAGCCCAGAGCTTGGCATGCATGAATGGCATGGATTTCCCATCATCAATGCCAATGACAGAGAAAGGGGAAAAAAATGAACTCTGAATTTTTAATGAAAAGTTGCTATCAGTACCATAGGAAAGAATGACACATCTTGCATTGCTGAGGTGGCATAGCATAGTTTTATTTTTCAAATGAATACAATGCTTAGATTTACATTTTGCTGATTTAACAATTTCTGAAATTTTTACATAAATATTAAAGGGGTTTTTTCCAAGATACATAAGAACACTCTATATAAAAAATAGTTCTTTAAGTGAAAGTTAAAACCACATTGTTAGATCTTTGAAATGCAACATTCTTATTATATTTCATAATGCAAAAATGTTAGCAGCACAGATATTTCAGTACTCTTTCCAATTGTGCACATTCATTTAAATATTTAATTTTGTTGGGGTTTTTTTTCCCCTTGGAAGTATTTTATCTTAGCTTTAAAGCCAATGGACTCATATAAAAGCAATACAGAATGGAAATCAACTCTGGTATCATATTCACATGTGAAGTGTTTACCACTGAAGAGTGATTTACAATTTATGTTTATGCTTAATACAACAAAAAGAAAAAAAAATGACCTGTATATGTTATGTTTGACATTTTAAGTAACTTACAGACAGAATTTTTGTTTTCTTTTTCCCCCCCCTCAAAACACATTTCCAACATCATACAGTGATTTTAAATGCACTGATTTTTTGGTTGTTCTGTCTGCTACCTCTCTTGCCCCAGTTTTGTGAAGACTTGCTAAATGCAGTTCCCACTGGTTAGGTAGTAAGTTATTAATGCTCTGAGCTTCTAAAAAAATAAAGTCCAGGATAATGGAGGATGATAAACCAAGGACTCAGTCAGCAGAAGCTGTTGGTCACTACTGAGAACATTGGTTATAAAGTCTTATTTTCTTCTTGTGTAAAAACCTGAGACATCCTCAAAATTTCCCAAGAGTTTTGCCAAAAGAGATCAGAGGATAATTAGATCCTTATTTATGGTGGTTTTACCTCCCCAAATCTGCTCTTTGATTATGTGGTTCATTGCTTGTTTCAATGGAAGTAGCACATACATAATATGTAGTCTGTCATCACGTATTTCTATATAGATTTCTTAAACTCTTCTGACCATGAAGAAAATTGTGTCTCACAGGCTGTGATTTACAGGACATATTTCTGGAGACCAAGACCTTTCTTGCCATCCATTGTTCTGGATGGCAAGAAAGAAAAGTAACTAACCATAGGGGCATCAAGAATTTTTAGTTCCATGTGTAAACCAACATGGCCCTTCCAAAACCAGAGTTTCTATTATTTGTCCACCATTTGTGACAGTCTTCTCTACTCCTGCTCCTTCATGAACCACAGTAGGAAGGAATGATCAGACTATTTTCCCAGAAAAAAATACTGCAGAAACAGCCAGAATGCTGCCCTCTTTGTCCCACCTTGTGGGCACAAGTTATAGATATAGCTGGATATCCAGTAGCAGTAGATACAATACAGATGAGATCTGCGTAAGATTGGATATGCAGTTCATTCTTTTTAGTCCATAGGGACCCTCTGTTTAGGTTGCTCTAACTCCCTGGATGATGCCCTTCCTAACCTATAGTAGACTAGAGTTAAGAAGAGGGCAGAGAAAGCTTTTGCCTACCCCAAGGCTTCTCCTTTTCCATATGTGATTTCTTGACTGTGCTTTAGAGACAAAAATTTCCCATTGCAAAACCAGATGAAATGTGCGAGCAAGCCCATTCCTAACAGCAGGGGAGGACTTAAGATGGAAGCTCAAATTATAAATTGTAATATGACAACAAAGGAGCGTTGCTATGGGCCTGCAGCATCTTTCTCCCCAAAAAGCTATAGTAAAAGTTGGTTTTCATGGACACCTAGCAACAGCTCACCCAGCTCTGCATGTGGGAACTGGAATGATTTGATCCCATGCAGCCTGTAGAAACGCTCTGAACTTGCTGGATTTTCAGCTGTGCTCTGCTAGGGCACTGCTAAATATATTGTATTTATTTTATATACTTAATTATCAACTTGATATGCTAGAAGCAGGATTAAGACCCCTCATTAAAATACCTACATCCAAAATCTGGGTCAATCCTGGTTAAATGCAACCGAGTGGAATGGTATATATTGGCTCTGTTGCAGCTGGCCTTCAATTCAGTTTTGCCCAAGTGAAAAGGTGACTGTTGTACGTACACTCAGAAGTGGCCCTGAATTTCTCTCATGTTTCTTGCTGTCCCACTCTGTTCCCTTATTAGTTGGTATCTGCCTGTAGTGATGAAAATGGTATTTAGGTCAATGTGTTCTTCGTTAATTGCATTAGCCATGTGCCTAAGACTTAGGCTTCCTCTCCTCCCAGCTCTGCCTTTGGCTATTAACATGTGGTCTTTAAATATATTTCATTCTTAACAGTGTACTTAATCTGTCAGGTGAGTTGGATAGAGTCTCTTTTAGGCAGACTAAGATGATCAGTGGAATGCTAATTACAAAATTCACATGGGTGGAGAGACCCCTTTTTATAAAGAAACACAAGCCATTTTATGTGCTACATTTTATACTGATTCCGCAAAAGCAGAGGGAAGAATCACATTTGTGTTCTGCATATGAGGTCTAATTATATTCAGAATACTTTTTTTGTTTTTTATTGCTGCAACATTTTTTGGAAGTTTACTTTATAGATAGGATCATTTTCCCTCAGAAAAAAAAATATACAATATTGACTTTTATCTTCCAAGGGTTTCTTTGCTTTTGTTTAAATCACATTTTATTAGCAATATTTTTCCTCACCTACTAGAAAAGATCAGAACAGAAGTTTGTTCAAACCCATATCCACACACATATATAGACATTGTTTATGGAGAACTGCTTGCAAATGGAGAACTGCTTTTTGTTTGGAAATGTAAAATTGCTGCTAATAGCATAGCAATGTCCAGCAGAAGGAGCTGCATTACTTTAACTAGGGGCATCAAAATCAAGAGACCATTGAGAGGTCTATATTCAGATATAAAGAAAAATGTCTTCTCCCTGTTTATTTATTGAATGCCATTGGATTCTACATCCTAGCCAAAATCCAGAGAGCCAGTTGATAATGAATTATTGAATTCCAACACCAGCAGAGACTAGAAATTTCCTTAGCTAAGCTAAAGTTTTAAGTTTAACTTTATTTCCAAGGACATTCACTACATTTTAAGCAGGAAATAAATATCCTGAAACTATTAGCTAACTGTTCAACTTTGAAAGATAATATTTGTTCTTAATTGCCTCAAAATTAGGGTTCTGTAAAATACTTGTCAGAGGACCCCAGCCCTTTCCCTTGTGCTGCGCCCATCACCGCTCCGTCCAGGCGACTGTGGGGTAGCGTTCCAGGAGCACGTTCCTCAGCTGGGCTGTGTGGATCTTGTCTCTGGTCTCCACGGTGCAGGTGACCTGGGAAAAGAATTAGGAACATTCCTGATAGCATGGCAGCAATCTCAGACAAAGGCATTTCCAACAAAATCCTAAAATACACTTGTAAAAACAAAATGATCAGTTCAACGTAAAAACTCTGGACCGCATACCCCCTATCTAAGCAAGTAAAACTGACACTGCAGACATCTGGGGCTCTTCCGGCCCTTCTGCATTGTCTTAAAGCCTTCCAACAGCCCTACTTTATTGCCTTCAAAGTTTAAAGAAGACAGGTTGATCCTCTGCTGGCTCCTGGGGAAAATATTTGTCTGCTGCTGTCCTCCCTGAGCTCATCTGTTAGCAGCTTCTCTTTTCCATTCCCTGGGGTATGTATGTGGCGCTGCTGTCGCCTCACCCAGCTCTGACTCTTACCTCACCACATTTCCGTATTTCTGGGCAGTGTTTGTTCCAGTGCCTCCAACCTCCATACTTTTTATATTCTCCTCCTTCTCTCTCTCATGGAGTTATCTCCCAGTCCTTTATTGTCTCTGCAAATGTCTTTATTGTCCCAGCTGATTTTATCTACTCATACACCTTCTTGTTTTATTCTAATTTTTTTGTTTGCTCATTGCATCACTTCTAGTTTCTGTTATGGTTGTTCTGCTGCTAAATCAAATTAAACCCAGGCAAACCTAATAGTTTTCTTTTTATTCTTCACTTGCCTCCACAAGTATTATTGACAGTCCTGTCACACAGACACTAAAGACAATATCTTCAATGTCATATTTTCAATTCTTCTTTAATCCCTCTTTCCTACACACTCACATCTGCATCATTGGAAAATCTGGGCACTACCAAAGGTGAGGCATCAATGCAAAAGCATGGCAGGAAAAGTATACTTCACAATTTTAGACTACTAACTTTTGTCACTGCTGACCCTGCTGGAATTATCACTGATGTTCAAAATGCCATGTGGGAAAAAAAGACCTCACAGAAACATGGAAATCTAGGAAGGAAAGGATCCAAGATGTATCACAGTGCAACAACAGAGTTTATTGTAATAGCCAAATCTACAGAGAATGGAGAAAAACTGGTCATGGTAACCTTAAGGTGGACTGTTAGAGACAGCTGCCCTGTATAATGTTCCTACCAGAGCTGCATTCTTTACAGAAAGCAACAAGGCAAAAAAATAAAATTGTCTCTACTCAAATATGTTTACGAGAATATTTCTAAATAAGTACTTTGTGAATTCATGTTTTTCCAGGAATGAGCTTAAGATAACAATAAACCCTTAGCAAAACTATTGAATGAGAAGATAAAACACTAACTCCAGGTTATTCTAAACAGCCATTAGCTCACTTAATTAGAAAACTTGCTATAGCTTCTTAACTTAAATATGCTGCATTTCTGATCTGTTTCCATAATTCTTCATCTCTTACCCTGAACATAGGGCTATTCTTGTTTGGTTCTTTGGAACACAAATTAGATGCTAATTTCTTTCTCCTCTGAAAAAGTGAGATTTAATCTTGAGAGGAAGACAGTCACAGAAGACAATTAACAATGAGGGATGAGGAGAGAACACAAAGATTGGGAAAACTATCTGAAGGATACCTAGGCACTCAAGTACTAAATACCTATTATCCATCCCCAGGTTCATATAAAATCCCTAAAGCTTTTCAGTCCTATCTTCAAGAGCAGACATGCATCTCTCTGAGAGTCTGTAATTTAAAAAGTAGCCTTTTCCCCCTTCCACAGCGAGTATGTCTGTTTTGTCCCGAGCAAATCAATTGCTGCACTTGGAACCAGTCTGGACTTGCCAGGTTCAACTTTGAATGTCTGGCAGCAAGCAGTTGCTCTGCCCTGGGAGCAAGCATGGGAAAGCATTTTGGTTTGTAGAGCTAACTATCCTCCTCTCTGCTGTTTTCTTTCTGCTAATGATTGAATCCAGACAGACTTGGATAGATTGGAGCCAGAGAGCTTGTAAGCAGTTTGGATAAATACTCTTTTTGTTCCGGGCATGCACAGCATCCAACATGTGATTCAGCCATTAATATGCTCTAGTGTATTATCAAAGCAATAACAACAGCAGCAGCAATAATAAACAACTCCAGAAGTTTACCTGATTTTTCACACTTGTCAAATAGAGGAAGAGAGAACATTTGCTGACAGCAGGAGTGAACAGAGAATCACTCTACACTTTAGCTACGGCTCTAAACAGCAAGGAAGGCAAGAATTTGCTTTCTTGCTCAGAGTAAGCCAATTTTCACTGCAGTTTTACCTTCATAGAACTCCTCTCTCTTACTTAAATTATGATTTACATGAGTGTTCAACAGGGCAATCCTCACATTCATGGGGAGGTATATCAGGACTATATTTATCTAGGATGAATAGTCACCTAGGTACTACTAGCTATGTGAGATTGCATACCTACTGATGAACTAAGTGCTCCAAATTGGTCATATTTAAGACCAAATGACAAAACCTATTGCCTGATGTTTCTTATACTCCAGACAAGATAGCCCACAACTAGAGAGAACTTTATCTTTGTTTCAAACCCATAAACCCTCAGAACTAGAAAGAGGAGTTTTAATCCAGCAGAGCTCTCATTGACTGCAGGACCACGTTTGCACAGTAGACCTTTCTTTTCTGCATACCAAAAAACCACCACCAGCAAGAAAAACTAAGTACATTTTATGCATTTCTCTCCTGTGTAATGTTATCATAAAGAAAAAAGCAACATTTGATTTATTAATTAGCATTTTGTTGCACAGTTAGATGGAGAAGTAATGTGATGGATGTTCTTTTTACAACTAGTCTCTTCTGAGTTATTTAAAACCACAGCAGAGTTAAGCTCCCAAGAGGTTTGAAGAGAACCAGACAACCCCATAACTTCAAACAGGACTGAGGTCAGAGGGAAAACTGCCACTGCAGATGCTTCTCTGCAAAGCTGCTGGAGCACCTCAAGACCTTGCAGACCCTCGCTGCTCTGTTCCAGGACCCTGCTGTATCTGCCTGTCTGTTTATGCTGCAGTTTCAGTGGTGAGGAAAATACTTTTCTAGAAACTTGAAGAGCTCCAAGATACTTTTTCTTCACCTGAAAATATAAGACACCCATTTAGCAGGCAAGCTGCTGACCTACAGCAGAGCCCTGCATGGCTTCATAGCAAAGATAGATTTTACCTTGTTAAGTCACTTACAGATTTTGCTCATTGACTTCTCTCTGAGTCAATAATAATATGAAATAGAAGGGACATAAAGAGGTTTACAGATGGAAACCATTTAAGTGATAAATTGTCCCACATTGAATCTGAGGAATATTACTGATAAAGAACAGGGAAAGTTCACAGAAGCAAGTTGTAGCTTCCTTCCAAGAACTGGGGCATCCTTTAGGTCTCTATATCCAGTTGGCTAGTGACACTAGATTATTTTTTCCTTAGATCTGGTCTTTCTTTCTGTCTAGATATTGCTGGTCATCTAACCTGCTTCAATAGTTGCAAAATGTGAAGCCTACCAGACTTGTTATTTTTATGACTTGCTCAGAGTTACCTATTTCAATATTGTGACTTTGGAAGCCATTTCCTAACTGCTCAGGCAAGAGTGAATTAGGGTGTAGTTCTCTGCAAGACAGAAATCCAGTATGAGCCACAAAGAAAGAGAATCTAAACTGGAAGTATGAGCAGGTACTATCCAAAACAAACTCCCATATTGTTCCAAAGAACAGGTAACCAGCAGATCCCACCACACAAGGCACTTTCATTAAGAATCAGACTGCATCTAATATAGCCATAAGCCTTTATTTTTCCAAAAGTGTAGTTTGAACATAAAGCTTCCTTTTAGAAAGACCTTGCTACTCCATGCAATCAAACTCTCCGCAAGGATCTTCCCACAGAGTGTTCCAAGTGTGCACTGGATGAATAAACACTAACCCAGGGAGGTATTTCACCAGAGGGAAAAAACCCGCTCTATCTTCCTGATAAGTCATGACTAGAAGCCAAGTTTCTGTCCTTTGGAAATGAAAGGGTAAATCTAAAAGGATTATTAAATACTGAGATTACAATATTGACAGGACTGACTTAGTGCTTCAAATAAGCCACTACACTCACTGCTCTGTTCTGTCAAACACTTCATCTATATCCCCAGTCAAAAGCATGTATTAAAGTTAGAGTGGAGTGGGTATAGCCATAATCCCTTTCTTATTATTACCACCAGTTCAATGCATGATAATTTTGGTTCTTGATCCAGATTTAAATGCAAGCTTAATTTAATGTGCTGTGATTTATACTGATGAAAATGGTACAAAGTTCTTTGCAGGTCTGCTCTAGTAGCAAATGCTTAAAATGCTTTGCTGATACTTGGCTCCTGTAAGCAACAAAGGAAAAAGCAAAACCTCCTCCACGTATATTAGCTTTACTATAAAAATATGTATAATTTTCTGTATCTGGTTAGAGAAAATTCATTTTGCTGCTTAAAGACAAATTAAATATTATATCCGTTTTGATTACCCTTGTTTTACTTTTCAAAAAAAAGCTTCGTGATTCACTACGTGTCACCAGATAGAGCTGCCTCCAAAGTCACTGAGGTCTATAAATCTGGATCACTACTCTGCACTTCACATCTAATTATCCAATAGCCTTCCTTAGACTGATTAAAAGCCATCATGCAAATCCAACATCCAATTACATCATTCAGGGATGCAAGTTCCTCCCTTCAACCCGCTTGTAGTACAACACTGTCAGATTCTTGAATTGGACAGTCAGTGGAAATACACTGTGTTTAAAGCACAGACAATAGTATACATGGCACTTCTTCATTCTTCCTATTGTTACAGGACGCCACGGAGCAATGCTGTTTTGACTCTACACATTTGAGAAAACTGATAATATCATGTCCTGAAAGATGTTCATGAACTTCATTGCAGTCCTTTGCTACAGTCATCTTTAATCTAACCTATTCTTTATAGCCACAAGTGAAAATACTGAACAGGTTTTTGCATCCAGGTGGGAAATTAGATTTAAATGCCAAAATGCAAGAACTTGCTTACTCAACACCATTATGGAATTCCAGTTATGAGCCTGTTTATTAAAGATCCATAATATGACTTCCACTTGTGATTTCACAGACTATGTCAGGTTGGACTCGGACTGCAGTAGCATGAAATCAATGGAACCACACCTTTGCCAAACCAGTTGAAATAAGAGATATGCCATGAGACAAATGATCCTTGTAAGAGATGCCATTAACTGCTAACACTTCCTCACCGTTACTGTATCAAATACTCAACAAGGGAATAAAGATTTTGCTTTGTGCTCATTGTGGATAAGGTATAAAACTGAGGTCCTAATTAAAAACGAGGATTCCTTAAGAGTAAGGGTGTTCTCTACGTTGCTTTAAGGTAAATTGTTCTCAGACAATTACAGCCAGCCTACACAGCTGGCTCGTCAGGTTCTGGACGGATGCTGCAGCTTGCTCACCACCTCCGGCACACCACCACACACGTAAGGAAGGTCAGCAATTATAACAGCTGGAGTATTTCACCCACAGTGTTGCAATAACAGGTAAAACAGGTCCTGCATTATTTATATGGCTGTTAAGTGTTTGGTGAGGCAAGATGCTGTATAACACAGAAGAAATTATCTATCACACTGCTCCCCAAATCACTGTGCATACTCTATTGGACTTCATCAACATAGTCATACAGAGTTACAGGAAAATAGAATAAACTAGGGGAGGTCAGTATTGCTAGAGAAATTGAAATTGCATCTCATCTTACCTCGACAGTGAAGAGCTCAGATGTCACAAACATGCGTTCTTGCTTGATATCCAAAACTCTACATCAATAAGAGATAAATTAGAGATCACAACAATCCTTTGTCATTGTAAAATAGCTTCTGTAAGCATTTGGACAGTAGCTATTTTTGCTACTTTCTGTATTAGAAACTTATTCTACACTGCAAAGGTACTTTCACATTGGAACAAAAATGAAAGAAATTAAAGTTTTTCTGAAATATAACAAGAAAAAACTCCTTGATTAATTAGTTACTTACAGACCTTCCTTCAGAGAACATCTGGAAACATGTCAAAATCTTTAATAAACTTTGTGCTGTTCTGTGATTATATTTCCCTACTATTAGTCTGATTTACCTTGCTTCTTCCCGAGCCAAAATCTCCAGTAGCTTTGAAATGTCTCCTGGGCAGTCAGAAAGCACAAGGGAAAATCTACACACTCTGTTATCGAGGTTCAGGGCACGAGCTATGCACTGTTGCAGCAAATGCAACTCCAAGTTTCCACTGCATATAACAATTGCCACTCTGAAAACAGAGAGAAAAATAGGATTTTTGATTAGCACTTGCCTGTGCAAAGGAACCATAAATCGTAGAATCATAGAATGGTTTGGGTTGGAAGGGACATTAAAGAGCATCTAGTTCCAACCCCCCTGCCATCAGCAGGGACACCTTCCACTAGACCAGGTTGCTCAAAGCCTCATCCAACCTGGATGAGGCTTTGAGCTTTTGACCTGGATAAATCACAGACTCTGCTTGAGATCTGCCAGGACCATCCTTCAATAAATATGTATTGCACATCAGAGGGGCTCCTGGCTCTCAGTATCAATTGTGGGCAGGCAGTGGGAGCCTAGAAGCTGTCTGAGTTAGTTGGTCTGAAATTTTGTTTTCATTTTGCATTTCCTGGGGATTTTAATTTTGTTAGAGATAATTAGCTGGAGAATTCTAGGTGTGTTTCAAATTTTAAAAATATTACATAATTTTTCACTGGAAGTTCCGAGTCTCAGCCTCTTAATGGTTAGATAACAGGTATGTTCAAGGCTTTCTGTAACCATTAATTAAATCCATCTCAACCTTGCAAAATGACTGCAGAAATTTTTGAAAAACAAGTGAAGATCCTGTGGAATAATCATAGTTAGTCCATGATAATCTCTCTCTGCAGTCAAACCTGACCTCTTTAAACCCAAACTTTTGCATTTTTCCTTTTATTTTAGCTGTACTGAATTGGGCACTGGGACAGGCATCAAGCCTGAGAATATTCAAGAAGCATTTGGACAACAGACATTCAGACACACTGTCTGAATCTTGGGATTGTCCTGTGCAGGGACAGGAGTTGGACTTGATCCTTGTGGGTCCCTTCCAACTCACAACATTCCATGATTCTATGCAATTTGTTGCTGCTCTGTATGTACTCCATCAGCCTCTTCCGAAAAATCGCCTCAGCAGTATTTTAGCATGCATTGCTGTGCATTGGAAATTTTATTTTGTCTTGAGGGTGTGTATGTTTAAATACATTTGAGGCTATGTCCTGAGCCAAGGCTCAATCTGATTAAGTAGTGAGTACTCAAGCCCAGATGCAAGAAGGCACTTCCACACATGTTTAATGCTAAGCACAAGGGTAATTCCGTTGACTATCTGTGCAGGAGTTCTTGGGGCCAGGAGGCAGGTGTCACTGAGCGACTGCAGAAGACAGTCTAGCTCCTGTCCCACCACAGACAGGCCTGATTTCCACAAGTGGAATAAGAGAAGGCAACAGGCTAACAAGAGCAGGATGCTCTTCTGGCAGATATGACCATGCCTCATGGAGCTGTGTGTAACTGCCTTCCCCCCAGCCATTTGAGAATATAGGAAAATGACAAGATTTGTCAGGTCTCCAGGTTGCAAACATGGTCATCTGACCTGTGAGTGGTCCCTTCAGCCTGAAGTAGATGCCGCAGATAAGCCCATTGCCAGTTCAGGGGCAGAAACTGCCTCATCACTCATAAAACAAGTAGCTTCTCTCCATTTCCTGGGAACAAGGCACTTAACTCCGTGCTTTTGCCACAATTCCCTGTTTGCAATAGCTGCCGTACCTTTTGCCCTTCAACTCAGGCAGCTTCCCTGCAACCAATGCTGCAAGTCCAATGGCCCCTTCTGCATCAACTGTGGCTCGCTCATACTCCAGCAATCTCAGCATCGAAATGAGGATGTCCTCCTCCCTAAAGGCAAAAGAGTCGTGTCAAAACAAAACAAAAGAGGCACCAAAAGCAGAAGACAATACATTTATATATAACTGGATTCCTTCCTCCCAAGGTGCTGTTACAGAAAGCTGTGCTGCTGGGGGTGAATGTACATCTCAGTCTTGATATTAACTGAAAGACAAGATGGCATCTTCTACCAGAACCATTGTACTACCTAAATCCTAGTGGTAAGTATATTCTGCCAATTTGGTCTTTCTATGAAGATTTAGAAGAGTTTTGTCAAAGGCTACCCTCAAGTGTTGTAGAACACGACAAGAACAAGTTTTACACCCAGACCATCACCAGGTACTAACAGCAGGTAAAGTTTTGACCAAAGGGGTCAGTCTGGACGATGCTCTTAGTCGTATAATTTAGTTTTAGGTAGTCCTGCAAGAAGCAGGGAATGGGACTCAACAATCCTTTATGGGTGTCTTCCAACTTGAGATATTCTATGATTCCATGATACGTGGGATTGGGTTCAGTGTCTTCAATGCCCCCCCTTGGAAGGAAAGTCATCCCACCACCATCATGTTCTCACAGTGTGTGCATGATGGCAATTCCTGGCAACTTGCTCTCCACTGTACATGAAGAACCACCATATGCTGCTGGTACAGCACATTTTTCATATACAACAACGTTCACCCAGTATTATTTTCACTGCTTTTCTTCACCTACCTTACAGCAACAACTTTATCCACAAGTTTCCCTGTCAGCTGCAAAGAATTGCTGCCAAAGCAAAGGCTGCTCACATCTGCAGATTTCAAAAGACAAAAATATGACACTGGCTGCTTTAGACAAGTTCAACATTTTTTAGAGTCCTGACTGTTTCGTGCCCTTAAAGAGCACAGCACACTGCTGTTAAATGATCTTAAGTTGCTTGATTTTTTTATATGACAAAAATGCATTTGGTAACAAAAGATTGCATCTCCCAGGAATGTTTTGCCATTTTGGACCCTTTAAGAAAATTATGATTCTTTATTGGCATAGTTGCACTGTGAGAGTCACCCTGAAGCCCAGCACTTTTCACTGTTCAATGAGGCTTGAAGGAGAGAAGAGCCAAGCGCGGCACTGAGTTCATTAGTTACAACAGGACAGATAGCAAAGGAGCACAGGCAGAGCTTACTAAGAGAGTTAAGAAGTTGTTTGTTCATAAAATTCCCATTTAACTCAAAGCTTTGAGAGATTTGAACATCAGGTAAACAGGATATTCTTAAATTGCTTAACAGCTGAGGGTTTTTGAGTGAATTATGTGGAAACAACTGTATCATTTATAAACGTTGTTCTTCTGAGAACAGTTTTGTGAGTAAGTACTTAAGTATGGTATTTTCCTGCCTTTTCACAAATTAAGTCGTTTACATGAGAGTTTTCCCATTTACTTCACTGGTTAAGATGCTACTTGTGAGCACAATGGTCAGATAAACACTCAGGTCAATACACATTTTTAAGTATTCACCTGAACATTTCATATGCATGGGAAATAGTATTGTACTCAGGGTGGGTACAATACAGGTGGTGGTGGGGGACGCGTCAGAAACTGCTCTTACAGCAATTAAATGAAATTCTGACTCTTCAGAGGTTTAATTTAAAGTATGTTTGAACTGAATTAATTGGAAAACAATATGGTTGGAGAAATAAATGAAAATATTTTACCTCCAAAAGAATAATTAATTTTCTTACCTCCATAAAAGTGATGGTTGCTGCAAGCCTGGTCTTCAGTTGGGTGTCCAGCCTTTAAGGATTGTTGTAATACAGGGAAACTTTCAGACTCAACCCCCTGGGGAAGACAAATGTTGCCACTTTTTTATTGATCCAGTTATACCAGAAGTCACTACCAAAGTGGACAGCAAAATGCTACACAAAGTTTTCTCTTAGAATTAACAATTAATTTCAAATTGCATAATAACCGTGCTATCACTAAATGTATACTGTGGCTTATTTAGGACCAAACTCTTTCAGTAAGAAATTATTCCAAAACACAGAACTGGATTTCATTTACTTTGGAAGAGTCTTCCCACTTTTTTTTTTTCTTAAATCCAGGCAAACAGCCAAGGGACAGGAGGCTTCTCAGGCTCTCAGTGGCTCTTCTCCTAGGTGAAGCCTGGGGGCACATATAGTCCCTGTCCCCAGCATATGTAGTCTCTGCCAGTGTATCACTAGATACCGGTGCCTTTTGAAAAAGTTGTCAAAATGTAACCTTCACAGGTGAAAGGAAACTTACAATGACAGAAATATGTGGGTTGAGGTGTTTCAGTGCAGCAGCCGACCCTGCCAGCAAGCCACAGTGGCCTCCTGCAGGGAAAATCACAGCGTCCAACTTTGGAACCTGCTCATACACCTCCAGGCCCACGGTTCCCAGCCCCGACAGGTAGACAGCACTGTCCTCCCTGCAGGAAGGAAGGGCACAGCTCAGCAGAGTTCACAGTTGTCAACACAATAATAGTTCAATCTACTACTTCAAAGACATCGTTCAGCAGAAAAAGGTACATGTGGGAGTAAATCACCAGCACAAGGTGTCAACACAACAGGACATAGTCATCACATAGACCATCGCATGCTATATAAAGTGTGACATTACCTACTGGCAGAAAACTTGTGCCACTGATAAACCCCCCAAATAGCCTTCGGGGTGAAGAGCACATATCTCTGTTTTTACCAGTATCTGGTGTTTACAGAGCGGGTAAGACAGAAATAATTTTTCCACTGCTGTCACTACTTGTGTTTCATAAACTTTAAATGCAGCATTCCAAACTAAAACCAAAGTCTCGAAAGGAGATCTCCTTCTCTGTATTTACAAGTGGAATTTAGTGTTTGTGATAAATGGGAATTTTCATGACATTTAAGCACTGCATTCAACCTCATAAATACCAAACAGATTGCTACGGAGTTAAGTCTTTCCATAATCCAGGGCCAATATCTGATACCTCCACATTACTCTGGAAGACTCTGGAAGGGTAAGAGAAGCATTTAGTTGTGCCAAAATACTCACTGGTAAAACAATTTCAGGCAAAGGTAATTTAATGAGCAGAATAGGGACAAACAGAGTCAAAAGACTGAAGAGAAGTCCACTGTACAGTCACATGATTTACTTGGATCTATTTCTGAAAGCTGTTTTGCATTTTATTTAAAAGTTAACAATGATGTAAATACAGAATGATATATGAAGGAAAAAATGAGACCTCTGTATGCCTGTATGTACTGCTTTTTCTGGCAATCAGATACACAAACAGAATTATAGATCAAATGATTTAATTTGATTTATTTGACTCTGGATGTTCGGGTACGAGGAAGCTATGCTTTTATTACTTTAGACATGCACAGAGAGGCACAGCAGAGAAGCACAAAATGCCTGCAAGGTGAAGGAGACCAAGGCCCTCTTGAGAAATTACCTCACACAAATAGCAAAACATAGCAAATTCCTTAGGGCAAGAGTCTATGTAACTACACAAGAAAGGATGAGAGGAAGGAACTTTCACTCCTGTAGCACAGCTAAAGATGAAGGCAAGAAATGATAGTAGGATGGGTGACTGAACCCTTGAATTTATTGTCTTTACCAAGATACTGAAGGAGCTCTCTCCTCCTCTTTATATGTGACAAAGTATGTCACTGCTCTCCTGAGCAATTCTTCTGGATCCTTATTCACAAGTAAGATTCAGAATTTAGTTTGCGAAGTTACCCCTGTCATTGTTACATGGAAAACCATGGGGACCTGCAAAAATGAATAAGGACCTAGGATACTCAATTTATGAGTAAAACTTCCGTAAAAACTGAAAATTCTGTTAGAGGGAGACTGCTCTGGGCATGGAGATTTATTAGCAGTTTAAATGAATGTTTCATATAATCATGTTTTACTTGCTAACATCTATTTAGAACACCAGTTCAGTGATCAGCCTTTAGCTTTTTATAATCAAATGGGTTATTTTATTTGCTCTGTGACTGATTACGTTTGCTCTGTGAAAGCAAACATATCTTTTTCAGTATCATATGCCACTGAAGAAAAGTCAAGAAAAAGGGTAGATAAATTGAAAGACTGTAGATTTAAACAAGCATTTTTGAGTCAGAGCTAGAAATCTGGCCATTTGCTTTCTACAATGTGCAATATATCAGCAATCAAAGATGGGCTGCCAGGCTTCAGTTTCCCAATGACATTTTGACATGGCAGCTAGCAAGCCCTGTTCCCATGTTCTCCAAATAAAGGGCTTGAAAGCTATCTGCTGTCCTTCCGAGAATAACAGACTAACCAGATCACAAATGAACGAGGATCACGTCTGATCAGTATTTGGATATGGAGTTACACAAGAAAAAACTGGCCTCTCAAGGAAGGAAGGTGTGTGAATCAGTCTGTAGCACTCTTACCTCTCTGATTCACAATTCAGTCTTTCTCACATCATCCTAGAGGTACTGTGTTACTTATTGGCAGTCTTCACATTGCATTTATAATGAGGTCCTGAACATCTATAGTTATTTAAAATCCTATGTTACTCAAGCAGCAATTATGTGGACTTCATGATTGAATTCCAACTTGAAAAATCATATTTCCTTCCTGGAATTTCTCAGGAAGTTGCAGGTGGATAAAAAGTTTCCTCCCTCTAATTTAACTCTTGCATGATCATTTTCATAACTCAGTACTTTAATTGCGCTCAAGAAATGAGAAAAACTGACATTGACACACCCAACTGTAGAACATTACCCATGCAGGTAAAACCAAAGACAGTCACATAATGTGTACTTCAGGAAGGAAAGAATGAATTGACCAGAGACCAAATTGCTGGGGATTGAATGCAAGCTAGAATTAAACTGAAATAAAATGACATTTCAGAAATTCCATTCTAAAGCACAGGAGATCAGCTGATGTTTTACAGACAGCTTTGGCAAATGACGATGCATGTGTGTCAGACACACATGTCATTGAAGATGACTGGCTATCCATATCCATTCATTCATTTCTCTCTGGGAAAGCTCTCTCAGTCTATATCTAACAAAATACATTTCAGGCATCCCATTATGGAAAGCTTCATGAACCTGGAGAATATCTGCCTTAGGTAACAAAAATAATTATTTGGGAAGGAGGGGAAGAGTAAACATGAAAGTACCACAAAATAATTTAGTTCTTACGTGCAAATATGGTAGCTGATGCAAGCCAGCTGAGAGTTAACACATGGATTGAAAAATATCTGACAGAAAGTTGGAAATCACAAGGCTGTGGAAAGCTGTTTTTCAAAGAGATCCTAAATGGGATTAAAATTCAACGGCATCTACAGCACCTCATTCCCTTGAGTTTCTCTGAAAGTCTCAGTCTGGGACAAGGTTGTGCCTGTGGTGACAGAAAAGGGACACCAACCAGCCCTGTGGGTCATTTGCTGTCAGCAGAGCTAACAGTGCAGTTGAAGAGTATAGTTTTTAATATTGCCTTCCCAATAAACCAGCTGGGAAGAAGTGAGGACTCTCCATTCTGCGATCCTCTTTCCGAGCAGCACGATTCATTATCACTGTGTTTAATGCAATAGTCCCCAGGAGCCCAAGGAGAATGGGCACGTGCTGCAGTAGGTGCGGTACAAACATGAAGTGATGAATAAAGCCTGCACAGAGGCAGTGATAGGGAGGGAGAATAACATTCCAGCTAAGTGCGTTAGAAGGACAGCCAGGTACCTCATGCTAATGATTCACCCCTATGCACTTTCAGAAATCTTACTTGAAAAAAAAAAGGGGGGAAGAAAAAGGTAAAAGAGACTGCAGAGAGAAAAGGGAAAAAAAATTAATATTGATCAGTTCTAAATATTTTTTGCCTGTTTTATCTTATTTTAATCATTTTTTTATTAGATCCAGCTTGTTCAATGACCTCAAATATTTCAAACTTAAATTTATACTCATCCTTAGCTACTTTAAATATTATCAGTGTGAAGTAGACTCTTAAACATCTTTTTCAAGGCCAAATCACACTTTTGCCACTCACACCAGATATGCAAAAACTTTACAGCATTAACCTTCTTTTGTGTTACACTATGTCACTGAACCCTTTGCTTGTACCCACCTTACTCCAAACAGAGAAACAAAAAATGAATAATAGCCTTAATGCTTTCTGACAGGGTCCATAAAGAGTTAACATCTATTCATTATCATAGTAGCCCATATAGTTCCTAATCAGGAAGTTTGCCCGATTTGGGGGAAAATGAGTGTTTCCTTTTGGTTTCCATCCCCAACTGTTATAAAAAGATTCAGGATTTGTGCCTGGGAATATGTATCTGTCCATACCCCAGCTAATGGGAACATTTTGATGACCTGTGATCAAATTTTAATGAATCCAATAGTTTTGGCAGAGTTACACAAGTATCTAACCTAATCTTTCTAATTTAGCCTGACTTGTCACTTACTCTTCAAGGTAGAGGTAACCATTCTCCTGCGCCAACCTTCTTGCATGCATCTGGGAATCCTTAGCTGTAGTGCCATAGGATATAACCATGGCACCATACTCACGGCACATTTTCACTCTGGCTGAGGATGTGCTGGTTGACATGATGACAAACACTGGAATACGGAGCCCTGAGGCGTGGTAAGCAACAGCCATGGAAAAGTTACTGTCCGAAGCCACAATCACCCCCTTTCTTTGCTGATCCTGAAAAACAGGGTTGCTTATTGCATATTGTATAGTGTCACAAAGTTGTCTCATGTGATCCTGGATCACTCTAATGGTCTGACTTCCTTCTTTTCCTCTACTAGCTGATCATATTATGATACAGTATATGCACATCTGGTGTGATCTCAGGACCTACACAGAGAGCTAAGACAGCACAGGATCAGTCCCTGTTCCTGCACTCCTCTGGGTTCCATTCTTGTTCCATTGGAATTAGCTGCAAAACTCCAGCTGACCCCAGAAGAGTGGATACCTGGTTCCTCAGAGCCAACATCTTCTCCCTCTTCCCTGCCTGTGTGAAACTATTTTATTTCAAGTTTCCCTTTAATAGAAGGATTTATTAATATTATTACAAAAGCTCAGGAATAACCACTGTTTCTGGGCTGCTGTATCATGCCAATTATAATTATTATTACTGCAGAGACTCAATAACCTCCTGCAACCAATGATAAGCTACTCATGTAATGATACTGAAATTCATTACAAAAGCAATCGGTGATCTAGATCCTTCTCATCACCCATTGTAACTCAATTTCATAATCGCTTGTTTGGTGGTTTCAACGTGTCAGAACCATAATAAGTATACAAACACTTTCATCCAAATGCCACAGAAAAATGCTGATATTTACATTTTGCAAGCTTTTCTTTCAAATATTTTTAAGCACTTCATCAGCAGATCAGCCAAGCATAAGTAAAGAAGTATTTTACATTCACATACTTGCAGACCTATCTATGTTGTTCAGCACAATGGTTCAAAAGGCAAGAAACAATCTGATTCCATGGACATTACTGGTAAAATTATCTTTAATTCTACTCCATTTTTGTGAAGTAGAACTAATCCATTTCTTTTTGAATGTCACCATTTTGTTATACCTGAGGTAATGATGTCAGAAGGTAGAGTACACCTCGTTCCTTCACAGATCCCGTGTACTGGAGGAACTCTTTCTTTAGATAGATGTCCATTCCATACTGCTTAGATAGCCTAGAATACTGGAGTATAGAAATATTATCATAAGGATGTATCTAAAATTAAGAAAAATCTTCCACACCCTATCAGCTCCCTAGTGAGGCATGCATTCAACTGCTATATATGAGCTCCAAAAAGTAATTTCATGATCAATTTCTTTAGAAATACATGACAGTGTGTTGTTACCTACCAGATTTTTCTGGTTTATGGAAGTAATTTTCAAACTCACAGCACTGAAATATGTACCCCATGCCCTTATGAATTCTGAAAATAACACTTGTTTTGGTCTTACTGTTCAAATACAGATATTAAAATTAGTATTTGCAGTTATTTCCAAAAGGATGCTATGGTCTGTTATTGTAGCACTTGGCAGAACTGGATATTGAATACACAAAATATAAGGTAATCTCCCAATAGATAGATACGCAAGCAGTTAGAAAATTCCTCCTTGAGTCCCAGTATGGCTTTGCTATGGTTTCTGCCACTGATTCACTACTGAATATTGTCCATTTTCATCCCAAGGCCAGTATGACATTAGAAAAGACATTTCTTATTTGAAGAATGACAGAAATAATAAAAGATATTCATCAGGACTGCAAGTGTAAGCAGCAGCTATTTGAAAATGCTTAGTGTTTGAGACAGAAAAGATGTCTGAGCTGAGAGGAATTAGCAAGCATAGTACATGTGATGCAATGTCCAGGTGCATTATTTTTTTAATGATTTTTTTAATGGCAAACCTTTATAATTTTTTATAGCAAGACACTCACAGTATGCATCACCATATTGATTTCCTACTACCATATTATCTAAAACGTGAGTTTTAAACAAGATAGATAACTTACGAAACAAAGCTGCAGTAAGCCTGTGGGTTTCAGTTCCCTGGGCTTAATGCATCTCTATTTCATAATTGGCTCTATTTTTTCCATTGGCTGCCAAAGCAAATAGGACCCAGGGATTTAGAGGATATCAAGCCCTCATTTATGATAAGTCCCAAAGAGAGATTAAAAGACAGCATGACAACATATTTTAAATATTTATTTCAAAAAGTACCTGGCAGTGTCATGCATATGGTGTATAGTGTACACAGTAATATGTACTGACATTTTTCAGATTGTGGGACTTTCAAAGTGAATTTATATAAACTAAATAGATCTGAAACAGATACTTGCTTTAAGGCATAGAATTAAACTAAATATTTCAAATGAATGTTTCAAGGACTTCTAGTGGATTTACAAGCATATGTCAAGTTCCTCACCCGTAGGTGGGGCCAGATTCTCTGTTTTGCTTCTGAAAATGCTGCAATAGGAGCTACCACTTGCTGCTCCTTTGCAAATCTGTCTGCAGAACTGAAAAAATTGAAAGTGCTTAGTACACTAATAGGATAATAGGTTCTATCCTAAACAGCCTAATCTATGGAGAATGTCTATGCAAAACAGAACAAGAACACTAAATACTACTTTACTGGTTCTTCACATACCGTACTAGTTTTATCATTTTTGTTTTTGTAGAGAATCTTGGATTCTAGAGTGAATAATGAGAAAAAGGATTTAAGGAGATGGATCCTGTGACTTTATAAGTCTGCTACATTAAAAAATGTGCCATTAAGTCACTCTTCACCACTAAGGTGGTGTACTTCAGATTATAAATTTTTCTTTAATTTTGATACTCAACATTTTAACTCTTTAGGTTATCCTTTTCTTCTTCCTTTAACTGAGGCTTTTTTTCACGTAGCCTAAATATAACAATTACTTCTAACACAGGAGGTGTCAGTGCTGTTTTCTGCTGTACTGACCTGATGCATGACCTTGTAAGACTCATTGACCAGCCTGTAAGTTTTCCCTTTTGCCACTATGATCTCAAAGGACTACAGGTACTGCGTCTAACGTACAACACACAGCACAGCCTCCATTTGGCGTCCACAGAGCTAACACAAAACAACCTTTAAAGTTCCTACATCAGCAGGATCAGTTCCTATATCAGTAACCAAGCCAAGTGCCCAAATTAATGCTAATTCCTTGTTTTCCTATACTCACTACCTCTATGACATGTCTTACAATCATTCATGATGCCGCATTGCAGCTGCAGGCAAACTCCTGCATAAGGATCCAGGACACTCCATCCATGGTCTTACATGCAGAATCGGAATCACCTTGCAAAGTGCTTCTCCATTCAATGAACTGAACGGGTTATAGTCATGCTCACTTTTTTCATCCAAACAAATGTCCCTGAAAGGGGCTCTTACCTCTCAGTGAGGAGTTAAAATAAAGGTTATCTGTGTTTTTCTTGATACCACTCTGTGCCTTCAATATTTTCCTTCTGAATCAGTGCATGAAACATAAACTAATGACTTCTGCAGGAACAGTACTTTGAATAGCAACTGTAGTAGGGTATTTTCACACTAAAACAAGTGGGGATATAGGTTTTCCACTATTCTGATCGTCCCAAAAGCATAGTTCATAAAAAGAGACTAAAGAAAGTTAGTCTGTTTAGTTTGTCACAGTAAATGCAGAAAGGGGATACAATTGAGTTGCATAAATCTGTCAGGGACACCCAAGAGAAAAGAACTATTCAAGTTGAGGGGCAAATCTGCCTGAGAACAAGTGGTGTGAATTGGCCAAAAAGAGTTTAACTACTTGTGACCATGAGCACAATCAGTTTATGAAAAGTCTTCTATCACACAGATGCCTGCAGGAGCAAAAGATGGACTCAGTGGTGCAACCTCTCCTTTCCTGCATTAGGATGTGTTGGCTAAATAATTTCCAGTGTGGGAGCCATACCTTGGGAGCAAGTTGATGGCTCAGGGGGTTGGGCCAGGGTGGTTATTACTAGTTTTGAGTTGTTGGTCTGATCCATCTGAGCTGAAGGTGTGAATCAGGTCCTTCAATGACCCACACAGCCAAGGCTCACGCAGTCTCCCACGGGCAGGTGTACAGAGGCAGTATCCTATAACTGTTGGGCAGCAGTGCACGATGCCATGAACTGCAGGGAAGGGATGAACCAGCCTATCAAAGGGTACAGAGCAAGCTAGTTCTGCTTTCCAAATTAAGCCATGACATTATCACTCTCCCTGCCCATAGACCTACCTATGTACAGCAAGATTAAATTCATCTAACAAATATGACCAGAGCTGTCAAAAACAGAGAAATGCAGTGCTCACTACTTGCAGTATAAATGCAAATCTTCTCTTCCTGGGACAGTATCTGTACAAAAGCAGAAGATTGGCACCTGTCTAGAGCACCATCTGTCCTTTCAGGCATGACAGTCTGAGAGTTTTGCTGACAAACGATGCAATGTGCAGAGTTTGGTATGCTCCATCTGTTCGCCCAGGCCCTGGCCCCCTGACCACCCATGCTGCACATGTGTTTGCTCACTCCCCCCTGCTGCCTTCCCGAGCAAGCCAACTTTTCCACTTTGAAAGGAAATCAAGGTACAGCTGGTAGGATGGTTTACTCTTGGGTCACTCTGAACAGGCAGTATATGAATGCAAGATACATCCAGTTTTACTCCCTACACTCCGGCCAAAACTACCCCACAAGTTTTGTGCCACTTTACAGCCTCAAATGATCTTATATCATGTCCTTTGTCACGAAACACGCTTCAATAGTACGCTACCAAAAAAAAAAAAGAGCTATCTTTACTTTGGTAACTCTAAGCTAAAAAAACCCCACTGAAAGTAATTATGATGTCTCTGGATCAGCAGGCACCATATGGGAACCAGGAGAACTGCTGCACCTTGCAGACCCAAGCACTTTGCTCCAGGGACTAACCCCAAGCAGTGGTTCAGCCACCAAGATCCTTTCCCTGTGCAGCCCAGAAAGACAATCTACAGCCAGTGAGGCTGGTGGGGTGCCCCAGGTCAGCAACAGGGAGAGGTTCATCGAGAGAGATTTGGGGCTGCTGCTACGAATCATCATTTGGCAAAGCCTCTCTTTCACCCATCACAGGGAGGAGATATTAGCCACAAAGCATCTGCAGTAGCCTTCATGAAGAGCTCCCAACAGCAGAAATAGAGTACGAATTAAATAGTTTGCCATCATACATCTCTTTAGCAAATGCTTGCACATTTATGGGAGTGTCTCAGTCATTTTCATACCTTGACTGATCAATAGGTACATATGTTTGTGTGTGTATATCTTAACGTCCTTGTTTTGTTGAAAACACGTGTGGCAGAACCACCTGGTTACATATCCAGCCTTGCCAGGTTGGCCAGGCTAGGAAGGAAAATCTATATCTTAAAACTCTCCAAATACAAGGGCTGGTTCCAAACCAGACCCTCCCACGAGACTGCTTACCCAAAGAGTGATAGTCCACTGTCTCCCACTCAGTTTCCATGTAGCAGGAGTTTCTCATCAGGAGCATAACACCACAGTGCATTAAGTCTACGCCTAATGTGGTTTATCCTTTGTTTACAGGTCACTACAATCTTTGAGGATTTAGGTTAGTGTAAGATTAGGTAAGAAGAAAATTATTATTGACAGTTAACAACAACAAATATGAACATGAGTTGTCTTACACAGATCTATCTGCTGCAGCTCACACATACTCTTCCTTCATTTCTCATCAACTTTTATAAAGAAAAGCAACAAAACATTGAGAGAATTCAAAGCCATAAAGACTCCCTACCATGCAGGGGGTTTTCTGAACACCGCACTGGATTTTGAAAGCTGCTGCACTAATATCTTCAAATCGAATCAGCTTGTTACAGCTTGACAGGCTGGTCCTACTGCTTGACTGAGGGATGCGGGAAAGGGCATCCCTAGGTAACTCCTCATTATGGCTCACTATCTTCATTTCCCAGGTCTTCACATCCCCATTCAGGTAATCCTCCTCACCAAAATCTTTCAGTCTCTCAGGGTTGATAGAAGGGGGCTTCTGCCCTATAAGGCCATTTCTCATCGGCCCATCCTTACAACAGTGAAGATCACAAATTGCTGAGGCATCTTGTTTCTTTATTTTATTGTCATCCCTGAAAACAAATAAAAGGAACTTGTTAGGAAAGCTTGGATGATTAAAGGCTTGACATGTAGTATTTAAGAAGGATGCACATCTCAGTTGCCCTTTGCACACCTCAAATAGGCAGATTGAATTATTACTGTCATATTACCTATCTTGTAGGTGGATTGAAAACTACTGTAACCAGCCAGCTTTTAGAAAAGCCACAGGTAACCTGCCGTGTGGACAATCTGGGAAACTGTCATACCCAAGAAAATAAGAAAGATATAATCCATGCTCTCTGGGCAGCCAGACCTTTCTCAGTACTCCATAGTCAATCAGCAATGATCCCAGTTCAGTGCTTCCAGAAATTTTGGAATAACTGGAATTGTACGCAACTCCGTGTTTTTTAAAAAAGGCAAATGGCTGCTGCAGACCACTCCCTTATACTATTGATAGCAGTAACAAATGTCATTACACTGAACACGAGAGGTCTGCTTCTTTGCTCTTGAATAATTGCAGAGCATACCCTTGACAGTCATCAACTGCCTTGTGATAGGAAGGAAATTACTTTGATAAGGGATAACAATTATATCTTACTACAGAGCTAAAGAACTAGGTCTCCTGATCTGTGAGTTATCACTTCACAGATCAAAACACCTGTAGATAAGATGACATTGGAATGTCACACAAACCACCTTCCCCAAGGAACTTTGGAGAGACAACACTTTGCTACAAAAATTTGCTAGTGTTCCCACCTTAGACTGTCTTACTCTACAGTCCACACTGCTCAGGAGCTAACAAGGGATATATACTACAGTGTAGAATTTTGCAGCCCTACTAACAAATAAATGCAAAGCTTCTATGAATTCTTGGAATTTGGAGAGTAATATGGGGGAAAAGAAGCATTAATCAGAAGATCAGTAATTTGGAAAAGAGCTGATACCACCCCCAGTCTGTATCTATGATTACATAGATGGTATAAGCCCCTCTACATGATGTTCTCAATATTAATAATCACCACTGTAATAATCATTGTCATAATTTATTAAAAGAGTTTAAAATACAGCTGCTTTTGGCAGTGTCATTCATTTTCTTTTTGGTCCCATAGCCTGTCCCAGTAGCTCTGCTTCCCATTACATTTCCAATTGTTCTAGTGAGGATTTCTTGTAACATTATGGGCAGCATAAGAGGTTTTGTTACTTGAATCAAGTGATATACAGTCATTCTGTATATCCTCATGGGAGACAAAAAAGGACAGTTTTTGTAGCAAGGTCTTCTCTCTCCAAAATTATTGAGTTCAACACTAATTTTCTAAGATAAATAAATAAAGTATTCACACGTTTGTAACTTGTTTATGTTGACACTTCTGATTTAAAATATTTTCCCAATAGCATGTCTTAAAGATGATACACCCAAACAGCAGGCATTCTGTTTTCAAATTAAGTAGCTTATCAAGTAGCTCTATTCCATACTTTTCCGCATTTCTGCTCCTTTGGGGTTAGAGGGTTGGAACACTTCTTGAAGATGTTAAGCTTCCAGTATTAGTTCCCATGCATATTAGTTTTAGCTTAATGTAAAGATAGGAATCAGACCAGACTGTCTCCCCAAGAAGTTGTTACGGCACAGCCCATGGTTCTGGAAACCAAATAGGACTATTGCATAAACAACAGCTATCATCATCTAAGAGGCTACATCTCTGTTAGGAGTTCATTCCCTATATCACCTCTGCACCCCCCAACAAAACCAACGACCCAAGACATTTTCCATATCACAGTAGCCCATAACCACTCCAAGAAGAGAAGAACATAATATACATCTTATCTCAAAATATATTATCTAAAACATTTAGCAGTCATTCATTTAGGAATGAATGATATTTCTTACATTGTCAATGGGTTAAAAGGGTATATGTAAGGTAAAATACATACATAGATCAAAAACTTGTGATGTTTCTAGGCAAAAAATGTTTTTTACTGATTGGCATCTGTGATAGGAGATAAACTCACACTTTCTCTTTGTGTCTATTGCAAGCTACAAAAATCCATAAAAATCCCAGCCAAAGATGACCACAAAAACTCCATTGACGAACCAAGACTCTGCTAGAAAGTACAAACTACAGGGTAACATCCCACCACACTAAAGCCATTAAATATTTTCTTATCTGCAAATAGAAAGACCAAAAATGGATACTGATTTTTGGCCCAACTCTTGGAATTTTTTTTTTATTTTTTTTTTTATTTTTTTTTTTTTTTTTTTTTTGGCAGAACAGAGGAGGGAAGTAAATCAGATTCTCAGTCCTTGATCTACAGTACCACTGTCAAGAACAGTGAATATCTGCTCAGGACCCTGATGGAGACAACATCTTATGACTACTGGAAAAGAACAAAGGTCAAACATGTAAAATATGTGTAGGCTTTTCAACCTTGAGATAGGTTTAAAGCACATCTGAAACATTACCATTGCAACATTTAATATGAAAACTATAATCCATGTGCATCTGAAAGGTCAGCAACCTTGTAACCAAAGGAATTTCATCATGCTATTGTATATGTATGTATTGTGTATATTTATTTCTGATTACTTTTAATTCTACTTCTATGTACATATTCTTAATTCAACTTAGTGAATGACATTTTTCCCTATCTGGGTTTACCACAGACCCACTGAGAGCATTCTGACTCCCAAGGTAAACAGTGGGTTTAGGTTTGACAATCCATCACAAAGCAACTAATAATCCTCTTAGGTCAGATGCATTTCTTTCCTCAAACACAGTTCATATGCTTGGTGTAGGTCAACTCAGTATGAAATTCTTTTGCAGGAATAGTCAAAGCAGGCAGCAAAGCATGCAAGTGCTCGCAAAAAGACAGCACGTGACTTCTCATGCACAGTAACAAAGTATGACCCTGTTCTAGCGATCATGCCCCCCAGATGAAAATCTGAGCCAATATAAATACAAACCCCAGCATTATAAAACATTAAATATTGCTCCTTTCAAAGGAATCACTTTCCCTTTTTTGGAGTTTGTCTCATAAAGTTTTCATTAAAAAGTCTGTTTATTTCCATCTGTAAAACAAATATCCAGCTGGCAAGCATTGTTATGTGGTTCTAAATTATGACATTTTTACCTTTAAATTTATTAGTAAAAGCAAACATGAAAATACAGTTTATAAACCTACTTTTTCAAGAACAGCTGCTCAGCATAACTGCAAAAAATAAGAGAGGAGATCCATATGCAGACATTCCATGAATAATTAAGGAACTAAAAAAAATATAATTTGTTCAACCAGATACCTTTACATAGTTTGAAGTCTTAAAGCCAGTGCAAAGAGAGTGTGTGATGAAATGTACTCTTAGAATGATAAAAAGCAACAACTCAGAATGCATCATTTTTCTTTTTCCATTTGTTTTTCCATTTTGTTAGGGTTTTTTTTTTAATATACCTATAACTTTCATGAAGCACTGGGGAAAGCAGTAATATTAATACACCAAGAAATTAACTAAAAAAAATCCCACCCTTTTGGGATGATAAAATACAGTAGTAGCACATACCATACCTGAAGACTACAATTGTTGTCTTCATTACAGGGAGAAAGAAGTGCCCATGCAGTTATCCTGCAATGATGGGACGATTGCATGTTCCCTTCAGATGAAGCACAAGCACATGCAGATTGACTTCCTCAGGATCCATGTGGCAACAGACTAAACAGATTAAAATGATAGACTGGATCTCTTCAGCTTCTAAAACTGAAGGAGCAAAAAATCTACAAAGTCACGAATGTCCAGGAAATAGGAGCTGGGAAGGATTAGTCTGTTTCTCCCAGTATAAATGGTAGGGGTATATCATATGAAAGTATAAGGTAGAAAATATAAAAGTTCCCTTCTTGCAAATATAATTAGCTCGGAGAACTAATGCCAAAGGATGAAAGGCAATGGTATAAATGGGTTCCTAAAAAAAACGTGCAACTATATGGAGGTAGGTCTAATAGTGACCAATAACTACATAGTTCAAGAAACAATTTGTCATTCAGGAAGCCCCTAAGCACTTACTTGGCAGACTCCATGAGACCATATGAGAGAAAGCATCTTATATGGCTTTTTTTTTTTTTTCTCCAATCTCCTGTTACTCCCACCACTACAGAGAAGACACAAAGGCAGACAGCTCTTTGGTCTCACCCAGTATTGCCATTTTGATTTGCAGATGTACCTAATGTCAGCTTTTGTCCCATTTGGCGCCACTTACAAAATAAACCACAACAATGCCTTTTGAAGCAGAAATGGGATTAGGGATGTATGTTCCAATGTGACTGTGCTGCTTCATAGATAGAAATTCCAGTGCCACAAAAGGAAACAAAGACATTTTAGCATAAGACTGAAAACTCAGCATTTCTTTGTCATTTCCACAGCATTTTTTTGTCATCTGCATTCACAATGATGCACACTCAACGGGAAGAAGGACCAACAGCATGGTACAAGCTCTGTATTGTATTTTAGCATCTTGAGACGTCTATGCCATTACAAGAATTTCAAATTCCAATGCAACTTGGACTGGTCATTGGCACAGTGCAAACAGGCAAGTGCTAAGCTGGAATACCACTTCAAACTGTCCCAGTGAACTGGGGCTACCCTGTAATTAACTCATCAACACACATGCATTTATACACACATGTATCCTATACATGAATTTTTTATTTAATCCTTTTTTAATGCTTTGGGGGTAAGGGTTTCTTGAGCTCATGTCTATATGCTCCCATCATCTTCGGGCTCCCTGAACACCTGCCTGGAGCACACCGAACAACAGACATCGACAAGGTAAAGTTTTAGACACACTCATCATCTGATTTCTGGATAAATGGGCTCAGATCTTATGCCTGCAAGTTAAGAATACTTATTACAGCAAAAAAGTGACCCCTTTAAAGTAACTTCTACCTCATTCATCAAAGTGTTGAGCAGGGACAGGTCATGTATTGTGACAGGTGAGGTGGAGGGAAGCCTCAGGTAGCTGTCTGCTTGGCTTGTGACTGGGACTTGACTAGGGCTAGGATCTCCTCTCAAGGAGTGGGAAAGAGGTAATCCCAGGATATGTCAGAGAGGGCCCTTTCCCTCATCCAAATCCTTCTTTTATTCAGAAAGTCCCCAGCTCCATTAACCCTTCTTATTCCACTTCCCCAGCCTCATCTCCCCTGACTTTTCTGGATGCCTGAGCCCTCCACACCCATCTGATATCCTCCCCATGTGTTGCAGTCTCCTTTCCCAATAGCTCCTAAACACTCCTGTTCCATTCCAGTTCCTTTTGGCAGTGTAAATCCCCGTGAGCTCCCCTACTTTTGCAAAATCCTCTTCTACTTTTTTTTTCTTTTTTTTTTTTTGTCTCGCTCCCCAAACGCACCCAAATGCTGCAATAGCAGCAATTCTTAAAAGCATCTCAGCAGCTTGTGCAAGCAGGTCTTTATGAAACAGCAACGATTGATAGAAAAATTGAGGCTTACTGAGATACAAATGGTAAGAAGCATCATAGCAGCTGTCATCTTCACTGGTAGTAATTCTAGGTTACTGCAGTGTATAGGGTCTGAGTGTCCTCTGCAGGGCTACAAGTGACAAGTAAACTCCTCCAGGCCTGAGGAAGGAACACGCTAGATCTCCCTTTGACAATACAGTTAAAACAGATCAAGGACAGTATGGCACTCAAATATTACTTTCTTGAATTATCATTATTTTGTATAACACTAGTACTTAGAAATACTCATTTGAGACTGTATCACTCCAACTAGTGGCAATTACAGGAAATTTCAAAGGGATCTCTGACATTAGATACCCAAACCCTATGCTAAGTGATTGTTCCTAAATTACAGAGGAATCATCAACATCTTCCCCTAAACAGAAAGACAAATTCAGTAAACATTAGCTTAATTTTATCGACAGAAACTGGGGCACAGACGGATCGAGTGACTTGCCTAAGACTCCCACAGGAAGCTTGTAGCTGGGTTACTTATCAGAGTGTCTTAAAGACAAAGAGATCAGGGCTTAGTTAACTAGCCTGTATGACACAAACATTAGGGACGTATGTAATGTGACCATCCAGCACAGATAGGTACATAATAGCCAAGTCTCGAGATTGAGCAGGCATTTATAACTCAACTCACCATATACAGGTCTGACAGAACTGTGCGATGTTACGCCAGCAACAAATGCAAAGAAAGCTCAGGCTCATGCACGGAACAACCAACCTGCATTATCACTTCTGATAAAATATCTCCTTACTTTCAGTAAGTCAGATATATCAGAGCCTGAGCCTAGTACTACATCTCTGGTCATAATCCGTTGCCAGTCTTCTGTACAGAGTATTGAAATGTCATTGCTTACCGCTGGCAATGGCAACTGGGTGTCAGCTGCTGAATAGATAACATGAGAAAAAGTAATCTGAAAGCAAAAATAACTCAGAAGGTCACCCCTCTTGGTTACCTCTGCTTCAACACCTTCCAAGTGTCCCTCAAACAGACCCATCCCTCTAAGCAGTATTCACAGCTGTGAATAGCAAACACTGCACACAGTTTGGTACTTAAAACTCTTAAAGAGGAAAAAAGTTTAATTACTTGAAGTTAAATGTGGTCTGAGTTTAGAAGTTCTCTGGTGATTAACACATCTCCATAACTCACTTGTAATAAAGAATGAATAGCATAACTCAAACTAGAGGAAAAAAAAGAGTGGTCCTTTGATAAAGAGACTGGTTTAAGATTCTCAGTTTACTTGCAGAACATGCCACATCATGTGTGACTTTGGGCAAGCCATTTTTTCAGTGCAGAACTGGGATCTTTTCTTCCCATTTGGTGTTCAGTAGGGGTTTATTAACAGCATTGAGCCCACTGAAACAATTTATGGTTTAAATATTAACAATATCTGTGACTATTGGCAGGATTCAGGAAATGAGAATTGTCCCTTTTTTATACCACATCTAGCAACACCAGGTTGTGATCTTGCTAGCAGCGTCCAGATAGTAAAACTGGGGTAGAAAACAATTATAAAAGCAGTTAAGGATGTGCAAACATAAACATGCCACATGGGTGCCCAGCTGGTGCTATGCAATGGCACTAAATGTCTCCTAAATTCCTTCTGCACCATGCAAGCCTGAAAAGAGGAATCCAAAAAGATAATAAGCACCAAAACAAAGACAACTGCAGAACACATGTAATTAGAGGATCCGATACAGGCTATCCCAAGATAAATTTTCAGCAGTCTATTGGCCTGTCTAGGGTTATTTCTAATATCGGACTAATGAAGAAATAAAAAAAGCTAACTCCATGGGCTTAAAGTATTTGAATCTCCACTGCTTCTAGTGGATGACTCCAAGAGAAAATCACACTCAGAGAACCCTGGGAGATACTAAAAACTTACAAACAATTTCTTTTTTTGTTTTTTGTTTTTTTAAGAAAGTATGGAAAAGAAAAAGAAAGCATTACCTATACAGCACAGCAACTAAATAAACAACGAGGTGAAGCAAAACTCCAACTACGACACCATAAGGAGGCAGGAGGGGTCCAGGGGTTGTCATGTCCTTGGGCCTGGCCCTGGGTGGACCCCGAGGGCTGACCATGACCCCTGAGGGGAAGAAAGGAGCACTCTAGCTCTAAGTCAGACAGCAATATTCTCCAACCTTTGCCAGAAAGGATCGTAGTCTTCATCTTCCCTGGAGTATTCCCTGGGACTTCTGTTTTTTAACGCCCTGGAGTAGAGAAACTGTGCTGCAAAATTCATTGTAATTCCTGGTGCAAAGCAAAGCTGGGAGACTGCGGGCAGGGGACACACTTGCCTGTGAGAAGTGCCAGCCCTGCAATGCCTGGGTGGGAAATAGTGGGCGATGTGCTATAATCAGCTCTCCAGTTCTGGCTGGGGGAGGGAAGCGCCTTTGAGAGACACGACTGCTGCTATTTAAAGAGATTATTTCAGAGGCCAACCTGTCCTTGTCAATTTGAGTCGGGGCCTGGATTATGCTTGGGTGATGCTCTGTTAGCAGGACACTCAAAGCTTTAGTTAGTTATTGCTTAGCTGTGGAGCATGATCTAGACCTGTTGTAGGGCCCGTGATTTAATAGCATGCACTTGGGTAGGCAGAGGCAGCAAGAAAGGGATGACTTTTTTAGCTTGGTTGAGTCACCTGCAGGAATCCTTTAAAGCAGCACCAAGGGACATGGGTCTTCATAACTGAGTCATGGAGGAGATGAATTACTTCATTGGGTCTCCTCTTGGCATAAGTCCTTGTCGCAGGAAAACAGAGATATCCAGAACGTATAGACAGAAAGGAAAGATCATCTAGGGAAAAGACTGCAGCAACAAATATTAAAAAAACCCCAAACATTGTAATCTGGTTTTCACTGCCCTGAGAGAGCATTAGCAAAAACAGTGCCACATTTTCCAGATGCAGGATGGCTGTGCAGTGGGGATGGGAGCAGGGGTCCTTCTGTGGTTTCTCTCCTTTGGAACACAGCCCTGATGGAGCACATGCTCCAGGCTGCTCGGGGACTGACTAGGTGTCTCTTTCCAGGTATCAGTAGTCCCTCAGTACCCTCTGCTTTCTGCTGATAGCATACAAAATATTAACCTTCGAGACAGAGAACAAGCACACTGTAAAATCTAACCCAAGCTGTGACGTAACTCTCCCCACAGAGTACCATGAGAAATATAATAATCTCCTTTATATGGAAGAGTCAGAATAAATGATCAAACAGTCTTCTGGGATCTCTAGGAAACTCTGAACTGTGCTGATGGAGCCTTTCCTGGGTCCATGCTCCCATGACTTCATCAGCACAGTTGAAGCTCCAGATTCACCATTTTTTCCCATGTCTCCCACCCAAAACCCCTTTATCCTTCCTTGTGCGGGCTGTGGAGGTGGCATGTGCTACACATGGCCACAATCCAGCAGAATGCTGCTGCCAGAAGTGAAGAGACAAAAAGGCAGTCAGCTGCTGCCAGCACTTGCAGCTCTAAGCCAGAGTAAAGTCCAGGCCTTGAAGCACAGAGAGAAGGCAGGTGGGTTAATTACTTTGCTCATAACACATCTGAAGTACAGCTGTGGGCAAGAAAGGGAACCTGATTGTAGTGAAAAATCACAATGCCTAGCTTTTGGGTGCCTGGGAGCTCAGGCCAATGTGCTCAAGTCTTGACATGACTTCAGCTCCCCACAAAATGAAGCCCTGATCTGTGATCAGTACTTGTAGACCACACAAAACCAGTAAAAGGATTTTGGGGACCATTTGGCCAAGCAGGTGGAAACAAATTCACCAAGATGTTTCAGGACAGAAGTACATGAAGCGTTGAATTGCTGTCCTTCTTAAACACTCCCAAACAAGCAGCCCACAAGGGAAAAAGGATATTTGGAAATTTCTGCTGTAGATTTAGGCCCATGTCAAACATTCATTCAAAGCCCTTACCTAAGTGTGTGCTGGAAATGCTGACTGTGCAGTGTCTCAGAAGGCACTGCACTACTGTTAATTGCTGTAAGTTAAATATGACCATATTCTGAGCCGCTTATTTCCTTAATGAGAGATAAACGGTTAAACACACACTATTATTAGAAGTGTCTTCCTTTCATTCTTGCCTGCCAAACTTCATTGTCCTTATAAGCTTCTTACCCTTTATCTGCTACTTCACATATCCACCTTCACTGTCTGTGCACACAGAGAGGATGGCCATACAGCCATCCTGCTTTCTCTTTCTAGAGCAATTGGATTTTGTCACCTTTCACAGGCACTGTTCTTTTAGTATCTGTGTGTCTTTTCTGACTAAGACATCTCTCTCTGTTGTACTTGAATCCTTTAAATAACTCAGCCACATTCATCTAGGAAGATAATCTGGTCTCCTACATCTTCCTAATATCCTTCTCCAGGAAATCCCTATTTATTTACTTTGTCTTTACTAATGCAGTTATTAGGAGTTGATAGATCTGCTACTGCTGTCCAAGAACTAGAACGCTCCAGCAGAAGGTAATACCCCTGTAAATGACATTTTTTAGGGGCAATCTCACATCAAAATACTTACGCTAGGAGTGAACTTAAGTACATATTTTTTGCTTTTTGATTCAAGGTTTAATACACTTGAACTAGATTAATTCATAGTTTAATACCTATTACAAAGATGGTATGATGGAGCTTACAGCTCCTTTCTGATTTCATTGCCTTTTCAGATGTTTTTTCCAAGTAGAGCGCTGTGATCGTTAGAGGAGCCTCACAAATGACAACGTGGTCCAAACAGTGATAGTCACAGCAGCAGGGTGTCACACAGCCTCCTTCCCACTGCCACTGAGAGCATCTAGTCAGGTGTGGGGAGGGAATCCTACCCCTGTTACCTATGGTGTAGTCTACTTAATTTACATCAAAAGTACACTGGTCGTGGTAGATCAGTTATGTATTTGAACTAGCTGGCTATAAAGGCTATTAGTGATTTCCCTGATGCCATCTTCTGTCAATTCTTTTTTCAGACTGTGTGCCTCTGAATCAACTTTCTGCAAGGGGCTGTTGTCTGCTGCACTTGAATTTCCCAGGATGCCCTAATTTCTCTCTGGTTTTGCACTTAATTAGCAAAAAACTTCTCTAGCATATCGTCTTTTAATAACTGAATCCTGAAAACCTTTCACATATAATCTCACTCTTGGCTTTTAACTTTGAAAAGCCAAATGCCTCAGCTAACAGACTGAAATACATTATTTTAATTATATTTATTAATCTTAAATAGGATCAAGGCAATCGCTACCAGCAAAACATATGGAGACTGAACAATTTACCAAAGTATCTAGGGATCAGTCTACTAACTGCTTGAAGATTTGAAAATATGGACCGTAAGACTAACCAGAGAATTAACACATGAACAACAAAGTAGCTGTCCTGGGATACGATGGTATTAACTTTTCTGTGCCTTTTGTGTTGATTTGATCTGAGCTACAGCCTATTTGGAGACCCGTTATCTAACTTCCAAATAAGTCAAACTCTTCAAATAACCATTTTTCTGTCTCTCATAAACTATGACCTATAGCCACTTCCAAACCTGTTCACAGTGCTTTGAAAAACACCACAACTACTGCAGGAAGGAAAAACTACCTTTCATCTTTGACTTTTTCCTTTTATATTTATGAGAGAGAGAGAGAGGTGGGGGCAGGGCAGGGATAAGTAAGATATAATTATATTGCTGGTAGGGTCAAGTGAAACCCAACACATGATTGCCATGAAACTATCAAGGATGACACTAAGTTACAGGTCTCCCCTAGATAAGATTTATTTTCAAATCTAGAGTTTCTCACCTCCTCTCAGCTGCAATTTGGTGGGTACTGAGGAAAGAAAGTCAGCATTTCAGTTCTGTATAGCTTTCTGAACATTTCATATACATCTTCCATACTGACAACACTCACTTTTTGTGTTTGTGCAAGGAAATCATCATTCATATCTGCACAGCTTCAGGCATACCTACCTAGCATCTCAGTAAAACCAATCTCTATCAGCAGCACCATAGAATTCTGAAATGGTAATTCTTAAGAAGTGTTTTTATTCACATCATCATACAATATTAGTATCTTGTACTTAGATAATTGTCCAAAGGAAAAAAAAAACCAAACAAAACCACGACATTTTAACCAAGGGACACAATTGAAATTCAGTGCTCATGTGCTAGGGTGTAAGATCAAGGATTAGGACTGGAAAGAAGTGGAAGACCCAAATCTCAGAATAAGAATTTTACACTCATCAGGTTGTATATGACTGCCTGTCTTCCTCCCTCAGTCTCTGGCACAAAAGTCACTAAAAGATAGCATATGTGGAAAGTAACAGCTGCTTATTCTCCTAGAAAACCGTCTAAACGAGGCTATGCTGCTTTTTTCCCCAAACTGAAAAATAAAATAGAACCATTTTGCCATGAAAATGGAAAACAGTGCTTCATTCTCTTGTAACCAGGGAGAACTTGGTTTGGACAGCACTGGGAAAAATACCTATTACCACTGTAAATAAAGACTTCATTGAATTACAGGACCTGAAAGACAGTTTTGCAGGGTTAGCCAAGTTTTTCCCCACACTAAATAAAATTAATAACATTTCCAACCTCAGTGAGAACAGCATGGGTGGGAAGTGATATTCTATCCAAAGCAGAGAATTCTGTGCAGAATTTGATCAGTTGCAGAAGGAAAGAGGGTGGAAACAGCCTGCAGTTTAGCCAAGAAAAACAATAAAAGTTGTTCAGAGAATAGCAAAACAGAAAACCAAAATTATAATTTAGGATTATGCAATGTATCAATGCAAATGTGGTGGTAAACCACTATAATAATCAGTATGGATAAATAAATATAGACAATTCAAAAAGAATTGCCATTTAAAAAAAAAAAAAGAAGGAATAGACACCAAAAAGCTTCACATTTCCTTCTAATTTAGTATACTAATTTAAATTCCATCTCGGTTTCAGCATAAATCAAAATTTATAGAGCAGACCAGAGTTTAAGCCCCCAGTGTTTCTATTTGTCAGATAGCAGGTGACCCGTGGTAGTGAAATGTCATCTTCTGTTTGTTATCTTTAGGGAACTGGGAAAAGCCTGATAAGGTAGATTGAAATCAGTGGAAAC